TGTGCGTCATCGCCATTTATCGCAATAGCATCTACTCCGTTTAACTAAAGAGAAGGAATGCGATCATGTTCACAGGCACGCGCATGCGCAAAGAGTGTAGAGCTATCTGCATTCATCCCGTTACACACAGCGTTGGACCAGCGTGGCGCGGACGCATCGTAAAAGAGGAAAATGCCTTCGGAAGGACTATTGCACGACCTTACTACACCTCTACATACGTCATCAGGTACTACAAGTTCTCGCATCGCGCAAGTCAGGAACGGGCGTCGGGGCTCAAGCGTCACATGCCGCTCGTTGAGACTTGAGGTCAGGCAAGACACGGCGCCGACCCACGCGCGCATCTCGCACCCATGTCAGCCTCAGTCACTCGCCCAGCGGACTTGAACACATGTTTGCATTGCCTATATGCAGGCACCAGCAACAATCATGCAGGCACCGTTTTCACTCACTCTGTCTCATTTGTCCTCTCACGTATAAGCATACGTGCGGCCCGCGTGCAGGTCCGGCGCAGCGTGCGTGATGGTAGCAAATGATCGTCGAGGGCAACAGTATATACATAGGTGGCCGCCATCAAGAGAAGGAGTGCGGAAGGATCTGATCATATGTACATTGTGTGTCAGCCATAGGATAAAGTACCGCCTTCACCCCATTGTCTGCTCTTCTTTCAAGTCTTCTGAATGCCCCGTTACGACACTACACCTTATTCGTACTATCAACCTTCGCGACCACCTTCAACTTACACCCCATCTTTTTCACACACTGCTTACCACCGTATTGCCCCACCCACCCGACTCTACCCCTTGCCCGCGCGCATCGATTCCGGCGTTGATCTCTCCTCGCCGCGCACCAGAAATGTGCTGGTTCACCCTCACACCAGCCAAAGGCAAAAAGCAACAGCGCCCTTCTACCGACTCTTCATGTGCGGAGGACCTCGTTCGCGTTCGTCGTAGTCCAGCATCACCTCGTTTTAGCGACGTGCGCGTCAGAGTACCGAGTATGAGCCTCGAGGTGGAGGAAGGAGGTGGCCATGATCACGTGCATTTCGATGCGCACCTGAATCACCACCACAGACATCCGCATCTACATCCACTACTCATGCATCCGATTCATGGTCACAGCCACCACCACCACGGACTCGGCATAGTCGACATCAAAGAAGGCCACCTCCGCGGCTCCGGCAGAAAACGCACAATCTCATCCCCTTGTCCTCCACCTCCAACCCGCGAACCATCACGTTGCCCACCAGCATCCCGCCCTCGCGAACCCACTTATCACACTCAAATCATCGAGCCTAGGGTATCAACAACGACAGTCCGGGAAAACACCCGTACAGCCTTGCGCAACGTTCAACAAGAGCGAACCCGAGGTACTTTACGCAGAGTAGCCGGCTACGAGGCCTTGAGCAAGAGCATGCCGTGGGATTGGGATTGCGTGAGTAGCACTGTGGGGAGTAGTGCGAGTGGGGGTGGGAGGTGGATGAGGAGGAGGAAACCGAGTGGGCTGAAGTATCCCCCCTTTGGGAGTATGGATCGTTGGCTTTGACGCCTTTTCTTATGTTTGGGATTCGATTTGGTGTTGGGGTTTGAGCGGGTAGTTTCTAATGATCATGACAAATTTTGATGTTTGCATTGATTGGAGTTTGCAGCCTCTGTGGCACATACCAAACCTCTACACTTAGGTTGTCTTGAATAAGTAATATTGATGGTGTATGGACTTGACAAAACGACATAGACCTGAGTAGAGCGACACAAGCGGGCGTTATACGAAGTTAATCATGGTAACAGGCTGAAAGATTTGGGCGAATATTGGTAAGAGCCTACAAACCAATGAAAACGAGTGCTTTCTCATGCGCAAGCATAGGGCCGCAGGTGGCTGGGAACAGGCTAGATTGATGATGTGCCGCCCGACTTCACAAGCCGCCACTCAGCCTGATTACCCCGCGAACACGATCTCATGCTCAAACCTTCACATCTGCAATACTAGAGCATGTGCGATGTCCGGATTTGAAGTAGCTGGCGTTATACTCGCTGTATTTCCGCTTATCTGTAAAGCGTTGGAAGGATATTCTGCGGGTGTAAGATGACTAGCGAACGGTAGAGGACGCATTCACTGATAGCAATGTCCTAGGCATCGACTTTCAAGACTTTGCGTTACTTCGAACAGGCTTATGAGGCTGAGAGACTCGATATCGATATGGCAATGATATCTTATTATGCTTCTTGCCAGCGATTACTCTCGCCACTTACGATCTCACATGAGGAGAGAGAGCAGCTGATTCGGCACCCAACCTCAGCGAAGTGGAAAGAGCCACAGTTGAACGCAGAACTCGAGAGGAGACTAGGGCCATTGTATGACACGTATGTGAGGGCGACGCAGCGGTTGCACAAAAAGCTGGAGAAACTGAAGAAGCGACTAGAGTTGGACAATGATTACCTTGTACGCTACTCAACTATTTCGATTGTTGCGATTCGCATTGCTAATAGTTAGCCGCCTTGGATCACGAAATCGGGAAACCAACAGATTGAAGACACAACAAAACGGGCAGAATTCTTCAATCGACGTCATTGGTCGTTAAACTCACGTCGACACCAACTCTTACGCTGCCGAGGTATAACGCAAGACATCAGCAAGGAGATCGAGACAATTGGTAGATTCCTCACAGATGCGGCAGAACTGCAGGCTCCTCGAATAGAACAGCTGAAGGAAATTGACCCCACTCACTGGTTAGCTGTTCGCGACCACGCGGAACGTGTGTTCAAAAGTCTTGACTCTCGTTTCAAACGTTCTTGCCATTGCGGACACTTTCATCAAGTCAGCTTGCAGCTGCGCATTCAAGACGAGGCATCTCAAAGTGAGTTCCGAGCCAAATGCATTCTTTCCCTCGAGAAGAAACCTGGGCGAACCCTTGCGCCCCCATGGAATTGGCGCGACATCGACATAGAACCCGAGCATGTGGCCCCGTAAGTGCACCAACCCACTCTCATGATGGAAAGGAAATGAAATTTATGCTTAGACTAGAGCACTAGCACAGGCTGTAACAACATCTGTGCCATCGATACACTTTGCAGCCCCGAGCTCGTCCGCATCCAATACATTGCCCAGGCCAGCTCTGACGCCAAAGTCTCCGAAGAACTATCTTGCCCCAGAAATAGATGACATCTGCCATACGCTCAAGATTCCTGCAAACATGGGGTCGTGCATCGGTTATCTAAACGACTATCCATGGAGATTCCACATACACGAGTCACTGCACTGTCGTAAGCCACTCAATACACGCGCGATCATGTCTTTGGGAGACATCATGAACAAACGGCCACAGAACGGTGTATCCACGAAGGAAAAGTACGTCAAGTTCAAATTTATCATGTAAAAGTTGTGTTGATGATGACTAGAATAATTATAGCCCTACAAATGGCTGTGGCGGTATTGCAGCTTCACGGCACACCGTGGATCGGTTCCGACTATGGTCACGACTCTGTGTTCTTCCTTACGGATCCGTCTACTCCAGATATTCCGTTATCTGAGCCAGCTTACGTGTCGCGAACTTTCATCACTGTCAAAGCGACAAGCACAGACCTTTCTGTAGTGAGTGAGGGTAGGAAGTTCACTAAGAATGCGCTGCTGTTTGGGCTTGGTGTTTCACTTATGGAACTGACCTACGGTCGTCGATTGCTGGCCATGGCCCGATCTGACGAGCTTGACTCTCATGGCAACGTTGTACCCGGAACCGAGGTGCGTGTCGCAAATAGACTGTTGGCAGATTTCCAGAGTCGTGAACTCGATAGATTTGCGGAGGTGGTAGCATCTTGTGTTCACAGTGAGCTTGGGTCCCCGTTGAATTCTAGCTTGGATGACGAAAAGTTTCGGGCTCTTTTCATCAAACATGTCATTAGGCCATTGCAACAAGACTACGAGCTCATTGCTCCAGCAGGATGAACAGATTGGGTACATGTTGGAACAATTCTATTCGCGAGGTCCAGTCTTTTACATTCCTCTCATATCCGCTTCTTCGTTGGCCAAAGGAGGGCCTACATCAGCACTATGAAGCGTTGTGGAGCTATCGGTAGTCTGAATTGACCAATACCAGACCGCAGTCTGGGTCAAAGGCGCACTCCATTTATTCATTATACTATCAGAGTCTTAGATAGCATTCAAGGCAGTAGTATTGCCAGTTTCTGCAGTTTCCTTGAACCTAGAGTCAGATAGGCACCTTAAGCCATACTTAAGTAAACAAAAAGACGGGCAACAGTAGCCCGCATTTTCTCATAAACGACTCTTTGGTACAAGTCGAATACTACAAGGTGCTATTCAAGTCCTGAAGGCTGACTGGGATGTAATCGCCCTAGGCCGAACGCAGACTAACGCTGTCTGACCCCGTCATGCCCCCGCTTTCAGCCTTCTTGCTCTCAACACCTTATCCGAGTAGATACATCTATGGGTTCCATCGTTGCTACATCTTCTAGCGATGGCCTCACAGCTTGCAGACCTCTATGCTTCTTGTTATGGCTCCTTCCAGGCCCTGTTATCCGCTGTTCTATCACCAAAACGCGCCATAGGCGATCAGATGCCGCCCAGAGATGTCGAATCGGAGCTGGACAAACTCATCCTTTGGGCAAACAACGTGGGCGCCGTCTACTCCGGAGACTCGAACGGGCTTTCCCTCGATTACCGCTTGCGCAATTCGCCTTTTTACCAGGAAAAGGTATGCATATAATACGTCGCTCGCCTCCACACAGATAGCTTACGGTAAATAGGTCTCGAGCTTCCTTAACAGCCTGAACAGATGGGTAGGTGGTAGCGCATCGCTTCATTCTTTAGATTCCTTCCTGAGTGCTTCCGATTATTTCATTATTCCCTTCGGCACCATCGTGTTCCGTGCTGCATCTATAATCTTTCACCGTCAGTGGAAGTGTTCCAAATTTTGACGCGCAAGCTTACCAAACGATTCGAAAGCTCGTGAGAGGTGAGTAGATATAAGACTCGGCACCTCAGTCTACTAGATGTTAACCCGGCCAGCGACCCAGATAGTGCAAAATGAGGCGACGCCTTTCGAGGAGTTGGTGGACCTAGATCTGGGTGTTGAATCCATCGACTCTATAATGAGCTCGGACACCGACTCCGAGACCGACTCTGATGCAGATTCTGACAGCAGCGGAGAACAAAATGACAAGCAAGTCAGACGACATTCGGAAGCATCGGATCTATCCGCTTCTGCTGAAAGCAACCCTCTGGAGCTTCCTAAGACATTAGAGTTGATACGTTTTATAATCAACTGTTTGTACAAGATGCCCATACGACGCCCCGCTGCACTTGAACGAATCACGGACCGGATCAGGGAGAAATTTGCGCCATACCAGCAGTATGATGCACGATTTGTGCAGGATTTGCACCCTGAACTTGATCCTACTATAGCCACTCGGCTCGGGCGACTCATATCTCTCAGGCGGCAAATTCTGTACTATCAAGAAGAACACAACGCGAAGCTGCAGCCAGAGCCAATACAGCGCGGTCTCTCAGCTGGACTCGTCGTTGGGACACAATCAGAAGCGAATGCTGTGATTTATACGACAACCCCTTCAGAACAAGCTTCTGGGATTTCACGTCCATCAAAAGCTACGACTCATCTAAACCCTCCAGATCGGCCCGACCTACAAAAGTTCGACTTCCCCCCTTCTGTTGCATCTTCACACCATTCCCGAGCATCTACCTACGCGATCAACAGCATAGGCCTTCCTATACCTCCGATGCCAAAAAACGCAGACGGAACTCCACTTAGTCATTTCCTCTGTCCCTACTGCAAGATCACACAATACATCAGCACAGAGAGGGCATGGAAGAAGCACGTCCTACGCGATCTCAAACCTTATGTCTGTACATTCTCCGGTTGCAGATTCCAGGACCATTTCTTCGCAAGCCGGAACGCATGGTACTTGCACGAGACTCAAGAGCACCGCTGCGAATGGCATTGCAACGTTGAGGGGCACGACATATGCAAGACACCAGAGCAGTTCAAGAGTCACATGTCGGAGAGTCATGGAACTGAGCTTTCCTTGGACCAGATAGCCAATCTGGCACCTATGTTTCGACGCGCCCACTGCAGCTCTGCGGGAAAATGCAATTTGTGCAAAAGCGAATCCCAAAGTCTGTGCGATCATGTTGCTCGCCACTTGGAACGCATTGCTTTGTTCGCGCTGCCGCGACCTTTGCATGACGACGTGGACTCGACATCTTCGCAGAATCAACAGTCCCTGGAGGCTTTACATAGCTATAACGGAAGTCTATCAGCATCAGCCAAGCTTGAGTCTAGCGACAGAGCCATTGTTTCGCAGTCAACCAGTGAATCATTTGGTCGCAATGCAGAACGGTTCTTGCTCGAGGATGAAGGGAAGCTGTCAGATGCGTCTCATTACCTTGTTCCAGATTCCGAAGACATTAATTGGGACGTCGTCACGACCCAATTCTCCGGGGAGCCAGGCGCGATAAGTAGTGGGCCCAGTTTCGCAGTGTTGCGAACCAGCGTGTCTATACCACGCAAAGCTCAAGGTGAGGAGCTGGCCCAGAAATTGCAAGATGCTATCGGACGCACTGTGGAAGATATCCCCAGAAATGACAGACACTCTCGCCGCTTCTTGCCAAAGACCGACTTGGATCAGATACTCACCTACAAGTCGTTGGACCTTTTGTTCAGGGAGCTTGTTTGTATGGGTTCTTCCTCCAGAGTCGAGGATGTCTCACAAGCTATTACCAGCGATGCCGCTGACGAACAGTATGGTGCATACCCTACCGGTGCCGACAAGGTCATCGAGAATTGTGTTTCAGCAACAACGGGTACGCCGTCTCGAAAGTCCCTGCTTGCGCTATTCTTATATCAAGACCGACTCGAGTTGCTTTTGATGTTCTTGGCATGGTTGACTTCTGAATTCGATCGACCTGAAGCCGATCGCGACCGTTTTATTCCATCCGACGATTCGATGCCATTCACAGAGGAGAGGCTATTCAACTATGGAGTCCCTGACAGATACCACGCATCCATACTTGAGGAGCAAGCAATCTTCAAACCAAAGACGATTCAGAAGCTCTATCATCATGACATCACCACCAGCGAACGCTTACCTTTCATGGGCAGCTATCATCCCATCAAGAGCGGCTCTCAAGGCCAAGTCTTCAAGGCTGAGATAGCACAATGCCACTGGGAAATTCGAGTAAATGAGGATCGGAAAGACTCCGATTTCGTCACTGGTAATCCGAACAGCACCAAAATCGTGGCTCTCAAAGTCTTCAAGGCTATAGGATCTGTGCGTAATATGCTCGAAGCCACCCAGGACTTCGAAATCGAACTCGGCATTCTCAAAGAACTGCGAAAGTACGGCAAGCATGACGCAATTCTGCTAGATTGGGGAAGTATAACTGAGGTCGATGCGACCGGCAGCCCGATCAGACACTCTCTCATCTTCGAGCTTGCAGATTTCAATTTGAGTGATCTGTTCAAAACTCAAGACTGCGCTCAGGAAAATGTCAGACCATCTTGTTTGTTTGCTAGCCTTGTCGGAATCGTTGAAGCATTAGAATGCTTGCATGATAAGCTTGAGACTTTACATCTCGACATAAAACCAGACAACATCTTGATTTTCGAGAATCACTCTGGGGGCGAAAAGCAGTATGAGCTTATCTGGAAGCTCAGCAACTTTGGTCTAGCTCGCAAAGAAGACACAAAACAAAGGGCAGTATCCGCACGACCTGGTTCGGCTTCTTCGCAAGCATCTACGGTCCCTGCGACAAGACCAGTCGGCCTATATCAAGCCCCTGAGATCCAGGAGTTGAACACAAGTCAGGCAGGTCGAGGGAGTGATGTCTGGTCTATGGGCTGTATCACGCTCATGGTACTTGCGTTCATTTCCGATGGGCCAAGGACAGTCATGGAGCTGGAGACATTCTTGATGGTCGATTTCTTGAACAGTGGTGGTAGGGAGCCCTTGTTCTACATAAGGAGTGACTCCTATCAATGGGAAAACCGGAATGCGTACGTCTGCTGTTATCTACCGGAGCAAGCGCATGCCTCGAACACGATTGTTATTCCAGGACCAGGAAAACAATATAGCGCTTCTCTGCATCCCTTTCTCATACATTGGTCCAACACACTACTCAGGGCAACCTACAATTTTCGAATAGAGCAGAGATTCGTTTTAGACGTACTGAAGGTCATCTTCGGACGGGTTCTTCGCGTCAATCGGAACGAAAGGATAAGAGCAATTCAGTTACGCAACGAGCTTGCCGACATTCAGCGAGATTGGAGCGGGTATGAGCTCGCGCCTGAAAAGTACGAATATCGCGACATCTCAGAAGAATTACGTCTTCCGCGAGAGCCAATTGCCGAACCAACTGCCGACGCTGAACCCAGCGCCTCAGACAAAGACATCTTGCCAACGGCTATTGCTGAACATCGGATGCATGACGAACTTTCTCATGCAATTCAACGAGATGACGCTCCCAGTGTGCGTGTCCTGATCGAACGAAACCCAGAGATGTTACGCCAGCTATTGCCTGACCAAGGGAGATACCCAATACATTGGGCTCTGTTCAAGGGCGCCTATGAAGCTCTCGATGCGCTTTTTGAGAACGCGTCACTTGAGATCACGAGGCTGGAGTGGAACGGACGCACTGCGCTCGATCTCGCAATGGATATGGGGAAGCCCGCAGCTCTCGACTGCATCAGGAAGCATCGCGACAAGTTCGAGTTTCCGGCTGAACTTTACGAAAAGCGCAAGAAGAACCTTGGTTGGGAAGCAAGACAGGTTGCAGATGATTTGTTTGGTGTCAAAAAACGTGCATCTCGCAGGATAGGGGATATCTTCAAATTCCGTAAGAGTAGAGCGCATAGTCCGTCCGCATGACCTACTGATTGTAGAGAAGAGTCGTAAGGTTCTTAAGCATTAGCAAGAAGCATAGTTTTATGACGTCAGTCTAAGAAAAAAAGCATCAGCAAGCGAGTCACTGATCCAGTCCTGATGCTCTGACGTTTATACTTCAATGCTTCCTGTAGCTAGGCCTTGGAATAGCTAAAAAGGCTCGAGGCCTCGGAGATCTCTGGTCGCAAGCAAAAAAAGACACCGCTTTCTTGCTTCAACGCGCTGGTGTCGGCGATGCTGCATGGGCAAAAAGAAGGCAAAAACATACAACAGCGGGGATTCGCTAGTGGTCACCCACCTAACTACTAATCCGCCGGTACACTGCTTGTATATGGCTGAGCGGACGGGAAGCCTAATTCTCAGTGTCCTATGGTCGTATGTGGAAGAATGGGTTGATGGCTGGCTTGATAAAGTCGATATTGATGGGAAAAAGGACGTATGCTCTGGCGCGAGTTCCCGCTGCGACTACAACGCTCTTGCACCGCAGCTTTGCTACGTTTGGTCAGTGACACGGTGTAGGAAGACTAGTAGATTCGGTTGCGCATATTATACCCATTTCTCTTTTGTGATACATGGTCTTCTCAAAGTCCAATCTATCCCTCCAACTACTTCTGCAACACCGGCCATCCCTTGACGTACTTGATCGGATTCCATCCCAAAAACTTGAAGTTGTCTCGGTACAGCGGGTCGAATGTCGTGTTGACGTAATGGTAGTATAGCACATCGCTTCCGCGGTAGTCGGAAATCACCGCCTGTCCACCGGGTGCGTAGGTGTTACCATGGCTGCCATAGACCATGCTTCCGCCACCTTCAGCGAGATCCTTTCCATTGCGGTCCACGAAAGGTCCGCGGGGCGACTTTGAGCGGCCGACAAAAATGGTGTACTCAGCTCCAGGCGGAGGCAGCGCAGCGGGGTTGTAGCCGCAGCACAGGCCCGCTGAGTACCAGAGGTAGTAGAAGCCTTGCTTCTTGTTGTAGTTGATATACGGTGCCTCTTCAGCGGATGCACCGCCCCAAGAAAGAGACATGTTGGCGTACGCCTGCTCTTTAGTCGGCAGCACGGGATCGTAGGTATAGCTCAGCTGACGGGCAGTGGGGATCTTGACGGATTTGAGGTCCTTGGTCAACTCGAACTGCCAGAGGTTGGCCCACCAGGAGCCGTAGGAGAGGTAGCTTTTGCCGGTCTTGGCGTCTTGGATGAAAGCCGCGTCGATGGTGTTGGTCTTGCTCAGCGGGAACGGAGCGTCGGTGCTGTTGGAAGACACGACCATGCCGTGGTCGGTCCAGGATCCGTTTTGTAACGTCTTCGAGGTGGCGAGCCCAATGAACGACTCTGAGACGCCAAAGTCGGAGACAGTGTAATAGCAGTAGTAGGTATCGCCGACCTTGTGAACATCCGGGGCCCTGCATTATAGTGTTAGTACACAACTCCTTGTTGTATTTGCAATGTAACTGCCTCTTACCAAAGACGGTTTGCCTGAGCGGGATCATCAATGCTGCCAGGCGGCTCCAGAACTTGAGCGACAACCTCCCAGTACCCTTCCAGGCTGTTCTTCTTCGAAGCACGGGAGGTGGTTGCCAAGCCATGAGAGGAGAATGAGTAGTAGTGGCCGTCTGGTCCGAGCACAATACTTGGGTCGTGGATGTGGACACCACCAAGCGTACCGTTCAAGTCCTGACCTGTGATCTTGCGAGGCGAAGGCCAGTAATCCCTGGAGTAGGGGTCTTTGACTGGTTTGGGCGAGTTGTAAGATGGCGAAGGGGCGGCGAAGGCCGGGGTAAAGAGAGCTGAGAACCCTAAGGCGAGAGCCGTGAGGCTGGCTTTAGTGGAGGACATCCTGGGTAGAAGGCGAGCTGGTGCGGAAATAAACCTCAGTGATGGTTGGGAAACCTCCCTGTCTTATATAGCATACCGCCATCCGTCTATGATGCGGATCTGTCTCTCGCGCCTGGGCAGATCTTGTGTGCCATGTGTGAGCGAATGGCGCCTCATGCTGCCCTTACAGCGAAACCCTTGTCGCGAACCACGAGCCGTCCGGTCGGGTGGTCTGAGATGGGTGACGATTCCTGGAAAGGGAAGGCAAAGAACCACTCTCCGCAAGTGACGTTGCAAAGGTGGAGATGGAGCCTTGGGGTAAGAAGCTTACGGGAGGCGGAGGATTTCGTTCGCTCGAATCAACGGCCAGCAAAACCTGCTAGTGGGGCCTAAAGTTAGCGACCTCTCGTCGTCTTTAGACCCTAACATTCGGGGACCGCAGGCGAGGACGAAATGCGCAATAATGGCAGTATATTTTGCGACTGAGAGTCGAGATGTTGTGGGGAACGGGAGACAGGCTGGTCGCTAGTCTTCTGTAGCCACGAGGACCTCGGGACCTTGCCGTTCCAATCTCCCCATCTGATATCTTCCGGCCGAAAGCGGGTTCGAGTACGGGCAGCGATGCATGCAAAGAAGCCTTAAATTACGATCGAAATTAATGAGAGGATAACTTGTAGCAATTTTAATGACTCTTCAATGGCTTTCACGTCTTTTGAGGTGCAGAGCGGATGGACCGTGTGGCGGGCACGGACCTTCCACTAGCGGGGTTTGTGGATCGATGCCAGCATGAGTCTGGCCGTCTCATCACTCTTCCATCACAAATCACCTCACGGGCAGCGCATCGTTGCGACCACTTGATTCGTAAAGCCAGATATATCAGTTCACAGAAAGTTCAGAAATGCCTTTCGACCCTTCCGAGGTTCCGTCAGGTCGACCTAGGCAGGTAACGAGCACAAGTAGGTGGCCTCAGCCGAGTCCATCTACTCAGCCTTGAGGCCCACCTACTCAGCCTTAAAGGTATGCATTGCGCCCCTCGTGAGGCTGAACCAGTATAAAGTCAAACTGCAACATAAAGGCCAGCATCTGTCGTGCTCCATAATTATCTGTCGACTCGCCATTTGCATCTTGCGACACTTTGACATTGCAGGCAGCATTCAGCATGATCGATATCGCTTTCCCCAAACTGCGCGATGACTGGAGCCTCGACGTCGTCAACATCCTAGCCTTCTTAGGCGAGCATAACATCGAAGCTTGCAGCCAGCAGATCTGCATGTCGTGGACGTGCTTCCTACCACGATTGATACCCGCGCCTCAGGGTCTCCTTGCGCGACGACCAAGGAAACTTGAATCCGAAGAGGATACACCGGTGATAGGGATTCATTCAGGCTTTACCAGGCCTGGCTTATCTTATTTCGGTCGAATGTTATACACGAACGGGCTTGAGCTACCACCATTCACGACACGTGTTGTGAAGATCAGATTTAAAGAAGAGGAAGAATATGAACGGCATAGAACCAATCCATTTCGACCCATGTTTTTTTCGCCAATGAACATGATCGCCGTCTTCAGCTGCGCATTGAGCTTCGGACTGGCAGCATGGGCTATTATGCTTGGGGACGCAGTCGCACTTACTGGTATCCTGGTCATGAGTTTTACGACACCTCTACTTTGCGTCGGGATGCGTTGGACGCCATTTTTTCCGGATCTTGGACAGACAAGTACTGAATCAAGGCCAGGTACGGTTGTTATCAGATCTCCAAGCGGATCCCTCACGGTTGTGGAATGCAACGACGAGATTGCGCGTATTCTTTACTTCTGTCCTGAAAACATCAACTACGCGGTCAATACCTTCACGGGGCGCGGCTTGACCGGTACCGTCGGTGGGCTTACTCTTGTAGGCTCCATTGTACTATTCGGTAATGCTGTTTGGACAATGAAAGCAGCACTTGTTGTCACATATACGGTCTTGAATATTTTGTATTGGATCGCCGCAATTCTCCCGCTCCGCTTGTCGTGGCACATCGATCTGGAAATCGATCCACCGCAAATCACTAAACATGAAACGTATACAGAATGCCTTTGGACAACCATTCATACTACAAAAAAGATTGATTGGGCAAGAGAGTGGGTGCCAAAGACTAATGTGTGGAGCCAGTGGCTGGAAGATGCACAACGCAGGGCTGAATCGTCCGCGCGAGGAGCTATACACAATTGGGATCCACTGGGTGCTCTTGAACTCCTCAAGATAAAGGCCAAAGAGCGGCAGGAGGACTGAGTGGAGAGGCAGGAGCATGTGGAAGGGTGACGGGGATAGTTAGATACACAGTCTCATATTGATACCGAGGTAGAAGAGAATCAATCTTGCGGCTTGATTATCCCTCGCTACAGCCCAAGGGCTACAGTAACTATATGTAGCTTACGCTAATATCTTCCTGTAGGTAAGAGAGTTGGATAGACATCAAGACCTTGAAAGTGCGGCTAGTGCAGGCCAAACCAAGATCCAGGCAATGCTCACGTGCGACACCGGAATGGACAGTCATGTAATCAGCAATGTCCATGTCCATCTCGTATCAAAGTCCGGAGCGGGCCTTCGTCGGCCGATTACAACACCCCGTCATCGCTCGAGCCCTGCCAAGACATGACCCAAGATACTGTTTGTACGATGAAACGTCGCGGACGCTAGCTATCAAGACTTAAACCTATTACTGGTTCCATTAGTTAATCTTGTGTTCTTCCAATTGTAGAACTGCTATTTAGCGGGTTACGATCCCCGGGTGCCTATCTTCAGCATGGCAAGATTTTCGAGCTATGAAGGATCTACTGGAGGCTGGGCGGAGCTTGTCAGCATCCAGATTGCGGAGATCGGAGATTAGTACAACTACGTGCCTGCTCCCTTAAGTTTTCACGATCTTCGTTGTGAGTTGAATGTCGGCGGTTCAAAACATTCGTCACAATGGTGAACCCTACCTCGGTGCTCGTCGCAGCTGCCTTACTTATCAACCCTCTCGCCGCGGCTTCGAGTGGAAAAAGCGAATATGCCGCCGAATACTCTCCCAAGTAATGCTATGCCCACAATTCTGATGACCACTATACTCATTTCCCACAGCTACTCAACACCAACCGCATACAGCAACATAACCTCCATCCTCAACAAAATTCTGGCACGCGGCTACCTGAAAGTCGGCACAACCGGAGACTACAAGCCCTTCTCCTACAAAGTAACAAACCAGACCGCACTCCCCGCCACCCCAGCCATCAACACCACGTACATCGGCGCCGACATCGACTTGGCGCAGTCACTTTCCAACTCCCTCGGCCTCCCACGTCCAATTGAATTCGTTCCTACCATCTGGGCGAACATCACAACGGACCTCGTAGCCCAGAAATTCGATGTCGCCATGAGTGGCGTTAGCATTACTCTAGCTCGCGCGCAAAATGTCTTCTTTTCTACGGCTATTCAACGCGTGGGTAAGGCGGCCTGCGTGCGATGCGCGGATCTAGAAAAGTTCTCGTCGTTGGAGGCTATTGACACTGCGGGTGTCAAAGTCGCTGTCAACCCAGGCGGTACGAACGAGGCGTTTGACCGGGCGAACTTGAAGGCTGCGACTATCGTGTTGGTGCAGGACAATAACGCCGTCTACAAAGCTGTTATGGATGGAGATGCCGATGCGATGATTAGCGATATCATCGAGGTTGAGTTGCAGGTTCGGCTGCATCCTGATGTGCTGTGCATCGTCAATCCGAACGCCACATTTACGTTTGAAGAGTTGGGTTATATGGTTGGACGGGATATTGTGTGGAAGCAGTATTTGGATATGTTTGTGCACATTCAGCTTGGGAGTGGTGGGTGGAATCGTACGCTGGAGAAATGGATGTCGTACAAATGGCCTTCAGTATAGATGAGTCTGTAGAAGACAGCTATCGATGAAGAATGGGTTCGTTGCTACTCGAACACAATGGACAGGAATTGTAGGTCGATAGCTATACCAGGCGCAATAGGAGGCGAGTGGTGAAGCCAGAATGATTACATCGGGATTTGACAATGACCGTGATGGCGGCATATGCGTAAGCACTAGAACCACCCATGCCTACTGCGTACTGCTTGTAACATCACTCATTGGTCTGTCAAAACGCCTCTCAGTATCCTTACGCCGCAGCGAAAGCCTTTTGGCGATGGAGGCGATGACGCATTTCTGTGTCTGGACTGGTCAACAAAACCCCCATCTTCACATCATAACCCTTATTCGACGATAGCTATCTTTTAGAGAGCGATTACAAATGGCCACCCTACAAACGCAAGAAGCTGCACGACATGACCCAAGCTCCCCCCTCTGGCATATGTCCGTCAACAGAGACGGCAACTCCACCATTCTGTTCATACACGGGGCCTTTGTCGACGCTCACGATTGGGAACTGGTGGTACCCTACATCCACGACTACCATCTTCTTCTCCCAGACTGCCCTGGACACGGTCACTTATCGCACATATCGTTCTCTATCGAGACATCCGCAGAGCATATCGCGCGTCTGATAGAGGCACAAGCTGTCGGCGGTCGAGCCCACGTTGTTGGCCACAGTCTCGGTGCTTCTATCGCTGTCTGCCTTGCCGCGAACTGTCCTCATGTCGCTGCGTCGTTGTTCGTCTCTGGATACAGCGAAGCGCCTGTTTCCAAAGCTCCGCTACTGCCTTACCTGCTCTGGGCCTCCAATCGCATGGAAAACGCTGTCCCACGACCGTTGATTCGCTGGCTCATGGACGGTACAGATCTCCGCCGCACGAATAGCCCTTCGCTATCGCTTTGCACACAGATCGCGCATACCGACAGTGCTGCAGCGCACATTCGATCGTGGTCTGCACGAACATTGATCGTTGTCGCTGGGAAAGGTGGGCTGGTCCCATCTAACGATAGCCCGGAGGCTGCTCGCAAACTCGTCAAGATGGGGAAGGAAAATGACACTACGACTCTTGCTTATACGCATCCGGATATGAGGCATCCTTGGAATAGGCAGAATCCTCGACTTTGGGCGGAGACTGTTGTAGCCTGGGTTGAGGGGAAGGAGCTTCCAGCTGGGTTTGTGCCACTGTAGGCACTTGACGGGAAGACACGTGATACTTCTGCTTCGCGTTGATAGCAGCGATGATTCACTGGTTGTGGAAGGTAGAGCATGTGGATGCGTAAGAAGAAGGCACGACCTCGGTCCCTAGCTCACGTGACAGAGTGCATCTCAGTGAACGGTCATCGGTACCAGAGTGCATTATCATCAAAGATCACCTCGATCTGTTGCGACCGACGGAACGGAGATGAGAGGTATAATCCAGAGCGCTATACCCAGGTAGTGAAGGAGCGATACTGGCGGGCGTATGAAATTGCACGTGAGATTGCACCAACATGGGCGGGTGTTTAGGCCCCCAAACCTGCATGGGAAAGATGGCAGGGAAATAAATCGACGATGAAAGCAATGAAGAGGTCTCTTCATGAGGTTCGCACTTGGCTGTAGTGTGGCGCGCAACCGTGGTGGCTGTTGTGTATGTCTTGGTGGTCTCACTGTGCAGATGACGAGGGCGCCTGGCCACGGCTGATGTGACGGCTGGCGGGTGCTGGGGCTAGTGATCGGCTTAATCACGCAGCTCTCGCGGTCTCGAAGCCTTCAAAGTTTCTAGACCGCGCAACTACCAGACGCCGATCGCATAGCACAAACACAAAGACAGAAGGTGTAGAATAGCTCCTCTTCTGACTGCATCACGTTTGTCTCCTTTCAAAGGGGTACCGTCATCACAACAAAGACAGATGCAGACTGTTGAACCACAACAAAAGTATTTCGGGCCTACAGTATACGAGGGAACGTCATCCCTCGATGCAGCACTTGGTCTCTTTGGGCAGCTGCAGTGTTCAAATTCTCACCTAGTGGCCGAGCATCTATTTTTACCACCCTGGGGTGCTGCACAGCCACGCTGGCGCCGTCCATGGGGTCATGGGCGCAGGCTACCAAAGTGCATTTGATCATGATGAACTCCTATGATTCTGTGTGCACAAGAGATGATGATGGCGAGATAAGCTCTTTGTGCACGGCTTGAAGCTTCAGGCAGTTCTGCGACTCCGCATCGATGACACGATGGTTGACTTGGCGACGGCAACGGTCTCGAGCGGACCGGGGTAGTTTGATAGGCCCGCATCGCACGTAGCAGTCTTCAGCTGCCAGTATACGACAGTAGTGGTGTACTGGCGTGTGAGGGCAGCGTGTCTCGCAGTAGCAGCAGATAGTGATGACCTAGCGATAAAAAGCATTCCTTCCCCAGCTCGCGCAAGAGTCCCTGACAGCTCCCCAACGTCAACCCCATCTGCATCCCATCGTGTTCTCGAACGCGGCCCAACAACCATCATCCTTCGATAGCGTCGGATCCAGCGACTGCGCCATCGCGGGATTAATCGAGGCTAGCGCCGCGCGTCCCTTCCTGATTGGAGTGAACCCCCTTGGCTGTCGCCGCACGGTTTCAGAAGAGAGGCAGATTACCGGCTTCAGCGCCTCGTCCTCATTTCAACCACATCGCTCCCTCGTTCGTCAGTCGTTTCACTTTTGCGTCCCTCGTACCTGCCGACTCGACCCCAAACCCTCTTCCTGGCTCGCCGCTCCCTCGACGCGCCTTCCCTCTGGACGCTTGCCTTTGTTTACCGCTTTCCATCAGGCACGAGAAAGGTTGAACCTGCGGCCGACCCCCGTTTAATCTACTGCTTGTTTCTTTTGCTACACTCGCTTTTGTCAGCAACCACCCGCGCATACCAACGTCGCCCGACACTTCGCTGCTGCGACCGTCGCTCGCTGTCGACACCCGCACCCCGAGAACGCCCCCGGGCGCACAACACCGATAATGAGGCCCCACGCGACATACTCGGCCATGCTCGCACCTTTTATATTACTGGCATCCGCGCCACTGAGCGTACTGGCTGCCGACATTCTCAAGACCAACGGTTTCAGCTCCTGTCTGGAAGGCACAGGAGACATCAAGGTCAACAAGCTAAACATCGAGTTCGACCGCTCTATCAAGAAGGTCAAATTCGATGTGTCCGGCACCAACGAGGTTGAGCAGAAGGTCATGGCAATCCTCACTGTAAACGCATACGGCAGAGAATTGTACAACAAAGAGTTCGACCCTTGCGACGGCGAATACAAAGTCGACCAGCTATGTCCAGGTACGCACATAGCGACTATATGCGCATAATGTACAAGCTAACATGTAGCAGTTCCCAAGGGCACCTTTGGCGCACAGGGAGAGCAGAGCATCCCCGACAGCATCATGTCCCAAATCCCCAGCATCGCCTTCAACATTCCCGACATCGACAGTCAAGCCAGGATGCAGCTCAAGGCCAAAGATGGAGGCAAGGACCTGGCCTGTATTACCTCTCAAGTCAGCAACGGACAATCACTTTCCACCGCAGGAGTACAATACATCGCTGCTGGAATTGCTGGAGCTGCCTTGGCTGTTACTGGTCTTGCTTCGCTCGCTGGCGCTGGACACCCTGGTGCAGCACAATCCAGTCCTACCTTTGGGGATGTCATCGGATGGTTCCAGGCCATGGCTTTGAACGGCATGATGAGCGCTGACGTCCCCGGTGTATACCGCAGCTGGTCCCAGAACTTTGCCTTTAGCACCGGTCTCATCTACTGGGAGGGAATGCAGCACTCCATTGACAACTTCCGTAAGAGCACCGGCGGCAACCTCACCCAGAGCAGTGTCGAATTTCTCAAGAATGCTACCCTCGTACACGTGGACCAGAACATGACCTTGACCAAGCGCAGCTTTGACGTCCTGTTCGCTCGCGACGAATTGAACACGAACGTCAACGATACTGCCGAAGAGGGAGGTGACAACAAGGTCATTGTCTACGCGAAGGACATGCAGGGCTTCATCCAGGAGTACACCATTCCTGACCGTAACGCCTTCATGACAGTACTACTCATCTTCGCCATCATTATCGCTGCCATTACCGTTGGTATCCTCCTTTTCAAGGTCATTCTGGAGACATGGGCACTGTTCGGCAGCTTTCCGAAGAAACTGACAAGCTTCCGTAAGCGATACTGGTGGACTCTGGCCAAGACGATTACCAACTTGATCCTCCTGCTTTACGGTATCTGGGTTCTCTACTGTGTCTACCAGTTCAAGAACGGAGACTCGTGGGCTGTCAAAACACTCGCTGGTGTCACTCTAGCTGCATTCACCGGAGTGTTGGCCTTCTTCACCTGGAAGATCTGGAGCACTGCGGACAAGTTCAAGAAGATGGAGGGAAAGCCCGACGCTCTCTACGAAGACAAAGAGATCTGGCGCAAGTACAGCATGTTCTACGAGAACTACAAGAAGAGCTACTGGTGGATCTTCGTACCGGCCATTATCTTCATGTTCGCTCGTGGTTGCGTTATCGCAGGAGCAGATGGCCACGGTCTCGCACAGGCTGCTGGTCAACTCATCGTCGAGTCGCTTCTCCTTGTCATGCTTCTCTGGGCTCGTCCGTACACGCTCAAGTCTAGCACCTGGATCAACATTACCATCTCGGTCGTTCGCGTCTTGTCGGTCGTCTGCATTTTGGTCTTCGTCGAAGAACTTGGCATGAGCCAGACCACTAAGACCGTCACCGGTCTAGTTCTTGTCGTTGTGCAGGCTTCCCTCACTGGTGTTCTTGCTATTCTCATCGCAGTCAACGCGATCATCATTTGCTGCAAGGAAAACCCTCACCGTAAGAAGAGAAAGGCAGCTGGTAAGTCTTCTCCACCCCCTGCTTGCCAACACCATCTAACAGCCCCTGCAGAGAAAGCTCGTGACCTCGACACCCTTACTCCTCTCGACGCACGCAACTCGCTACTCATGGACCCCCAAGAGTACAAGCGAACCTCGCTTCCATCGCCGTTCGGTCCCCGTACCGCCGGTTACGACCGCGTTCCTCTCGCGGATCAGAATACCGCATACAACGGTCCCGGTGGTCGTTCATTCGGAGACGACCAAGGACACTTGCTCGCCGATGCATCCACGTTCGGTCGCACAGCAACGCATGAGCGGAACTTGAGTCGCGAAAGCAGTCCAGGGCGCGAGGCGGATGTTGGCTTCCACCAACCACCCGGCTACGTGTCCAACGCGCCATGGCAGCCTCAACAACCACGAGGCCCTCCTGGCCCCTATGCGTACTAAGCCCACAACCTTTGAAGTCGCCCAAGAGCGAAGACCTAAACAAGCGAAACATCTCGCCATCTAGGCATAATCTCCTATTTATTTTGTCCCCATGTCTGCATCGCGGTGGTCGCATTTGACAAACCATAGAGCGGTCAAACCATATCCTCAGTCATCTATCTCCCGCACACGGACCGGGCCATACCTGCGCTCTACGTCTGTGTATTTACGAATCTTTCCTTGTGTTCATCGAGTTTTTTTGTGTAAAGAAAGATCTGATACAAGCTCTTGTAATCTCATGCAAAGCGGTAAGCCTGGGGCTCGCGCACACATACCACTATCTTTTCTGCTATATCGTCAAGGTGGAGTGAAGGAGAAGAAGGTTGGAAAAGGGATGGAGTGAAGGGAGTTGGAAATGGAATGGGAACGGCAATGTGAACTAGGATGTAGCGAAAGATGTAAATACCAATACCCAACTGTTATATCGCTGTTCCATGTACCTCTTCGTGGTTGTGAGTGATGTCTGCCCAGAGAATGCCATGTCTGGAGATCTTATTACACGCGGCTCGGCGGCACCTGGCCTAGAATCGTCCAGAGCACGTGCGATCTTAACTTCCGCCGATAAGCCCTGCAGGCAGAGAGCTACCCAGCCGACCAGCTGAACACTCGCTGCAGCCCCGAAATGTTGGGACATACTTCGCATGCGCCACCCCTGAGCCAATACATCCTAGCGACGTACCTTGCCTGAGCTGCGACATGTAGCATCTGAACAAAAAGACGACGCAAAACTCTCGACAGCCCAACGCAGATTTGTACTTGCCGATCACTCAGATCGCTCGATGTAAATCCTTATTCCATCACCCTCGTCCCACCTAAAAACCACGCTTTTCCCGCCGAACGCCTCCGGCAAAGTCGATCTCCCGAGAATTTA